GTTATGTCTTCAGACTCTAATTCCATCTTTGCAGAGTCGAACTTGCGTGTTGTTGCCTCTTTGTTACTTGTCCTTTTAATTTCTATGATGTCCAGTTCTTCCGACTGTTTCTCATACACATTGCTTGTTTTTACAGCTTCTGTGCTCAGTGCACGTTCCTCTGTGATGTTCACTGTTCGCTCCGTTCGTTTGATTGTTTGTTTTTGGTGCTTTCCTGATAATGATGCACTTTCATATTTCGTGGATATATCAGCACTACTCGCAGGTGCTGTTTGTGTTTCTTCTGTCATGTCTACTTCAGTGATTTGTTGGTTTGTTTTCTGTTGGTAGTGTTTGTATTTCTTTTGTTGTTCATCGATCGTTGTGGATTTCAAAGTTTTTGGTTTTTGCTTATCAGGTACGAGTCTTTCTTCATTTGTCGTTCCTACCTCGATTCGGATTTCTCGATCTTTCCTTCTTATTGTCTCATTTGATATCTCTCGAGTAGTTATGGTGCACTCAGTTTGTGCTCTCCCTGCAACGTTGGTAGCTTCGCATATGTAGTGTCCTTCGAGTATTTGTTGCATATGAAGTGTTACAATTCCATTTCTGTATGCCACTCGGAAGAATCTGTAAATCTACTCAGCTTTCAAATTGATTCAATTTCAATTTATTCTCAAAAAATTATTTCTTCGTTCTACATTTCAGTGCTTTTGTTGTTTCTTTTTATCTAGAAATGCACATGATTTTTAATATTTTTCTGATGTTCTAATTCTGGTAACTAAGTGATTACATTAGTTTCTAGTTTCTTACTGTTTTTGTTTTGTATATGGTTGTTGGAATTGCTGCTCAGGAGTCATTACTTTTCCTAGTTTCCATGTTATTTTTTCATTCTTGAAACAGCACGTTGCTATAATTTGTTTCAAAATGTTATTGTTATCAAAATACTGAACGCTCGATTTACAGCAATTAGCATTAATATTTAAGTCATTTTGAGCAAATTTTTTTGTTATTTCTTCGTGTCACTTAAATTTGATATAATCGCGCTTATAATCAGCTGAATGTTCTCTTCTAATTTATTAAAGGATGTCAAGATATCATTGAAGGACTGTTAAACATGCTGTTTGTTAACATATCCTGCGCAGTCTGTGACTATTTACGTAGATCACGCAAATTTAGTGGGTTACCTGTTTGTTTTATCATTGCAATCAAGGTATTATGTTATGGTTATTTTATGACTCAAAACATTACTTGTTGTCTCTTTGAATCGGATGTCCGTTATAAAGAATTCGAATACACGGTGTTGGCAGTCCACTGATAATGCATCGCAAGCCCGTACTGATGCTGTCTTCGAAGATTGCAAACGGTTGAATAAAATGAGGGCATCGTTCTATCTCTGATAAGTATGATTGTGTATCGTTAACATCCAGAACTCTTCTGCCTGATGTCAAGTGAATATTAAAGATCACCTTGTACCTTTGTTGAGTTGTGATAAATATGTTTGCATGTACAACACTAGATACTTCATTCGCTATGCAGTCAATGAAAAATGAAATGGATTTTTCGGAAAAGTTCGAAATCTCTTCTTCCCGTATTTGTGGTGATCTCTTTTCTGACGCTGTTTCGACTTTGCAAAGCTTTAAATGAGTTCTGCTGTCTTCATGGCTTTCAAAATTTTCATGCATTTGTAAAAAGTTGGCATGATAATTGACGATGCCTTCATTTTCCATATATTTTTCTGCTTCATCACGGTGAAATACTTCTTCAAACTCTATTTTTTCGTAAATAGTCCTTCGACTACTAATTAAAGGTTGTTCCCTATGACGATGCATAATTCGGATTTCTTTGACGTTGTAATGAATTATTTTCATATAAGATCGCATGCGAACAATATCTTCTTCAATGATTACTTTGATTGGTTCTTCTGCTTCTCGTATTGAATCCTTCTGGATTTTCAAATAAGCTGAAAATTTTTCAGACAAAACTCGAATAGTTACTGCTTCGGCTTCGATTAAATAATTTAGTGCGTTGGCTAAGATATGCTGTTCAACTGCAGATTCCTCGTATTTCTGATTGCTGCTCTCTGTTTTATCTGGTCTTTGACTCTCCATCTTCGGCGCTATTACTTCTTTTTTATGATCAGTTACATCAAATAATATACGATCTTTTGTTGATGATTGCAATAAAATTTGAAATTCAGTTGATTCCACTGTATTTGGCCCTTTTAAATTTACTGCCACTGGAACTTCTGGGTGATGAACATGAACAAAACTTTGAGTACGGGCACTTCCAATACCGTTTGTTGCTTCGCATATATACAATCCTTCTTTTTTACCGGTACCAATTTTTAGAATCACAATTCCATCTTCGTTAATAGTACAAATATTCCTGAAATCCATTAGGAACAAATGAGTGAAAAGTGTGGTTAAAATAATTTATTCCTCGATTGGATTGATAATATGTTTTGCATTTATTACATTTGTGTTATTTAAAAAATATTTGAAGTTGCTGAAAACAAATAAAGTCTTGCTGACAACTTCAGCGAAATTCAAAATGTAGGTTTCCATATTTCCATTTATATGAAGATACCCATTCAAACTTTAGAATTGTTTTGGAAATATTTTTGGTTACTATTTACTGTCATTCATAACAAATGAATATGATATAGTTTGAGTTGCGAAAAAATTATCTTTTTTCAATCAAATGATTTCAAAGCTTAATTTTTTTCTTCACCACAGCAACTGATTTTTCAAAGAGGCAAGAGTCAGTTATTCACAAATGTGCATTTCAGAGAAATCTTATTGTTAGTAGTGCAAATCATTCGTGTAGTGGAGGAAAATGGATGACTTAATGTGAAATAATTTGTCGTTTAAAAATTATCATAATATGATTATAGACTTAAGTAAAAAAAGGTTACCTGTCATTAGGCTGAATTTCTTGACCATTATATGTCCAGTGAATGAATGGCATTGGTGTACCTATAGCAATACATTTCAGTTGCAATTCCTCGCTCTCTTTTATTGTAATATCACTTAAAGGTAACGTGAATTGAGGTGCCTGGAATTGACTAGAGAACGAATCCTGTGATGAATCTGAAGGTATTTGATTTATGATAAGCTCTTCAACAACATTCGCTGTTGAAGTCATCTGCTCTTCTTTTGAACACCTTATATCCACTGACTGGACTTCTTCTTTTTCTGAAATGCATGCTTATTATCTATTCAAAATATGATGTCTATTTTTCACTTTGTTCATTCTCCAAGTTTATGGATTATACTTATTACCTTCAACTATAACTCGACATGATGTTCCTACAGAACCAAATAAATTCGTTGCTGTACAACAAAACACTGCATTATCGATATCGTCAGCATTGAGAATCCGTAAAATAGAAATTCCATCTTCATAAACGATCAGATAGTGACTGTAATTAATAAAAATCTTTTCATTTTGCCAAAACAATAAATTTCGACTCATAAACTGTCTTGAAGGTAGTGCAAAATAAACAAATATTAAGCTTGCAATTCTCATTTCTGCACCTATGTATTCGCAGCAAGATTTTTTTCAAGTTCACATTCTATATTATCTTACCTATTATTTTCGATGATAATATCGTCATGTGTCCATTGCACTGAAGGCAGTGGAGTTCCAGAGAAAATGCATTTCAGCTGAGCACTTTCCTGCTTCTGAAATCCCTTGTTCTTAGATTCAGGAACATACAATTTTAATAATAAATTCACTGCTTATATTGTTTTACTTCTATGCTGTAATTTATTTAATCTCCTTAGTGTGATGCTTTCAACTTTCACAGCAATTATTTTTCAGAAGCTTAGATTTGTGATAAATTGATGATTTTTAGATCATAAAAATTTTAGTAAACATTAAATTTGTAAAAAATATGAGATGAAATCAGATTTTCATCACCTTAACGTGCATTTCACTTTTTAGTGGTAAATGAATAATAGGTGATTGTTCTCCGGTTGATGCTCTACGAACAGAACTTTGTTCTGATTCTGAAAAAGCGAACTTTTTGTGCATTTCTAATATTGCTATATATTTTCACATAATTACTATTCCACAGATCAATTTCCAAGTTTTTATTCCTTCAAAATCATCATCTCAGTGTTCAACAGTGAATAAAAATATAAAAATAATTTGCTGAAATAATAATTAAAAGCGAAGAGTTTAAAAAGCGAGAAACTTGGTGAAATCTGATTGCAATGAACGCCTATTTTACACTTTATTGTTTCTTCACAACTAGCCTTCCTACTAACACACCCTATGTACTGCTACGGTCTATATTTTGCACTAAAAGCACGGTGATGCCACACAAGCACACATGACAGACTAACTTTAGAAGTTACATATCCATTTTTTTAAACAACTGATTTCCAGTTTTGTTCAATTCGTTACTTTTTAATGCGCAGATATGCACACTTCTTAGACTATCTAAAAAATTCACTCATTCATGCCTACAATTTTATAAAAATCTTTATAAACTGCTACTGAATTAGTTAAACTACGTAATAAACAGGCTAACTTGCTAAATATTGACACACTTTTCACAATCTTCGCTCTAATACCTCAGTAATTCAAGTCATAATCTTAATTTATACTTTGAATATGAATGATTGCGTGAGAGCGACTTGTTCCTGAGGTATTTATAGCTTCACATAGCAAATTTCCATTCCAGGTTTGATCGACATGAATTATTTTCAATATGTGTATACCATCTTCAGCTACTATTGTAACACTGCTAAAATTTTTGATTACTTTAAAAAATGTACGAATATTCATTGTCAATATGTGCATTCTGATATCATTCAATGCATTCATAAATTGAGAATTATCACTTCATTGCTATATTTCGTCATCGTAAATCATTCTATTTCATCATCGTAGATCACTCTATTTCATAATTGTGACTAACTCTACTTCATAATTCAAAATCATTATATTTCATCATCGTGAAACCATACGCAGTCAAAAATGTTGAAGCAAACTTATGAAATTCTAAACTGAATTACTCTGAACTTAAAATAAAAAATTTAAGCATTACATTAACTTACTCATTTGGAATGACCGCTTTTCCATTACAATACCATTGCACGCGAGGAGTTGGCGTTCCATAAACAATACATTTGAATGAGTGAGTTGAAAATTCCTCAATTTCGTAATTTTCATTCAAGCATTCCGCGAATTGGGGAGGAGTTTCAGTCAAAGATATTCTGTCTTCAGCAGTTGACTTTTCTTAAAGATTATTATTCCTTTGAAGTATAAGGCACGTCAAACGATTATTTGTTTTTTTATTTTATTTAAAAAATTGTTTAAATTTTATATACGAGTAATAAGACGTATGTATTTGTTGATAAATCAGTACATAAATTAACATTGGAAGTTTTTGTACAAAAATTTGAATTTCAAATTTTATTAAAAAAAGTTGGGTTTTAGTCCTAAACAGCAAATAGAAAGCGAAAGAAAAAAACTCAACATATAGAGTTTTTTACGCTTAAGAGCGAAAAAAATACGTAACTAAAATTGAAGCACAAAATACACCACTATTAGTTATAGTTAGAAAAATGATACGAAGATGAAAATTATAAGAAATAAAATTTCACTAGCTTATAATTTTCTTACACGTAGCAAATACGCCAAAATTTGACTATTATTTTTTATAACGGATGCGTGTATTCAATAAACTACGCATTACTAATGCATTAAAAAATGAAGTCACGAGCACTCAAGTGTTCGTGACTTAATTTTTTTCAGCTGCGATGTTTATTATAGTTCTAAGATCTTATTTTTCTTTTTAAAAAGGCTCATTAATTTCAATTACGCTTGAATGAAACGTGTTTTTTGTTGGAAAGGAATAATGAACGAAACGAATTATTCATAACGAGGAAACAAACACTATTCATAAGGAGGAAACAAACCTTCCTCGTGAATATTTTCTTGTGAGATATGAACACACTCTATTGTTTGTGCTAGGCTTAAGTATTCGTAAGTTTCTACGCTTGATTCTTCATGACTCCATGCTGTCTGCATCTCAAAAAGTATTGTTAGATAAACTACACATGCGAATAAAAAGTTAAAATTTATGAGTGTTTAGGATTTTAATATGAAATGAAAGAAGTTTCGTACAATTTTCTGAGAATTACTGATTACGTCGAAATCATTACCTCATGTTTTTGACTTTGAGTCGTTTTAAAATCTGTGTTCACTTCAAAAGATTCAGATGCCGTAAATTTAACTCCTGAATTTTTTTCTGTTTCGTGAACGAAGTGTTCATCAGTAATGTTTTCAGGGATTTCGATGCTCTTTATAACGAATGCAGCTGGCGATTTTTCAGCAAAAGTATCATCTGTGTCACAAACCCGCAATAAATGTGATGGTGTTGGTATGCTTGCTTTTGCTAATTTCTGATTCCAGTAAATGTAGTTGATTTCAACACTTAGTTCTGCTAACTCATCACTATAACTCTTTTCCGCTACTTCAGTATTTCTTAGTAAAGCAAGAGTAAGCCATGAATGTTCTTCATCTGTAGACTGTTCAAAGAAAGTAAACATTTCTACACTTTCAAAAGTCGCACTTTGTAAACTTTTTTGGTCCTTTTCATTTTCAACGTCTGAGATCAAAATATCTGCGCAATAAATTTGCATTTCAGCTTGAATTTCAGTACTTAAATCTGAAATTTGTACTTCAAATTGACTGTTAACTTTTTCAGTAATCTCAGCATCAAGCGTCAGAAATGTTTTCATGGTGCAATCATTCTCTGAATGCTTTTTAAAACTTCTTGAAACAGTATAATGTTCTTCGCAAGCAGCTTTTAAATATTTACAGGCATTTTCTCGTCGTTTCGTAAAAATAGTTTCATCAGCGTAGAAATTGCTTTGACCTTGTAACCATAATGAAGCTATAAAATCGACTGATCTATAAGAGAATAGACGGTGTATTTTGTCAAATAGTCCTGAAGCAGGCTTTAACAAAGTTACTTCAAGTTCATGAAGTTCAGGTTTCATGTTGAAAGAAGTTTCAGTACTACAATTTTCAATTGTTGAAGCCCCGACATAAATGCTTGACTTTTCTTGTCGAGCAACATAAATGTCAGCATGTGTTGAAGCTTCTCGGTGCCTTCGTGAGCATAATTCAGCAACACATTTGACTGAACTGCTCGTAAATTTACGTGTATTCCTCTCACTGAGTTGTTGTGTCTGGGGAAAAGTGAAAACAATACTTTCTACTTGATCTTGAACACAAAATGTTGCAAAAAGAGTAATATTTCTTTCTTGAGAGGCCTTCAAGTATTTTTGAATTATAGAACTTCTACTGGTAAGTAAGCAAGTACTTGTATTCAAACTGCTTTCTACCTGTGACCATAACTCAGTTATTAAGTTTATGAATTCATCTGAAAATTTACATTCTTCAATTACTTTTGGAGTTGATGCTGACAAAATTATTTCTATGGCTTCTTTCTTCGACTGAGTTTCAATCATTTCAACAATATTTCTTTCTTCGTACTTAGCACTCTTAACATTTGCTAAGTATGTTTCTTTTTCTTTCGCTAAAATCTTCGCTTCTGTTTTCATTGTATGATCAAGCATTGAACGGAAATCAAATACTGATAGAATTGAACTATCAGACAATAGACAATGCAATCTTTCGATTTTCACTGGTGTTTTCGAAAACAGTGTTACCGAAGCATTATGGTCTTGTGAATGAATTTCAAAACATGGAATTATGTAAACATTTTTAGAACTTGAAGGCTTGAACTTTGCAATTTGAGCATAAGTTCGTGACATCGTATTAGTCGTGTCCACATGAAATTCTTGGAGTGCTTGAGACCAAAATTCAAGAGTTATATTCGTAGTGACATACGACAAGAACAGATTTACTTTTTCAATAAGTTTTGGTGCTTTAGTTTTTAGCGTTACTACCATATTATCCGTTTCAGATTGAACATTAAATGCTGTTGACACAGTAAAATATTCTTCCGTTGACCCTTTTAACCTTGTACTCAACCGATTCGTTCGAGCTGTTCGAACTTCGGTATCAGTAGTAAGATTCCTTTGCTCTTGAGATAATAGTTCCAGTTCAGAATTTATACAGCTAATCGCAAAGTCTCTCTGACAAATGTCTAAATACCTGATAGGTTTTAAATATAACTTCAATTCGGTCTTTGCCATCTGAAAATCGTTAAATAGATTACAATTTAGCTCATGCACGTCATAAGTAGATGATGTCATTTCCTTTCTCACTATTTCCGTTCGGATTAGTGGTACACACTTGGTAGCAATTTGATTTCTATCCACATTTGACCACAAAAATGCTCTAATATGCGTGGTAGAAATGATATATTTGCCACTTGTTTTGAACACTGAAGGTGCAATTCTTGATAAAAATGTTGCTTCAGTCTTCTTTTCTTGAACTGGTTTGCAGATTGTGAAGGTTCCTTCAGTGATAATTCTGTTTGAAGCTTTGCTTTCTAAATAATGCCAATCTTTGCGAGCAATATCGATTTCAGCTGCTGCATTCAAAGCTTCTTCTATTTTGTACACTGCTACAAATTCTAACCGGACAGTACTGATTTTAAAATGTCTTCCTATACTTTGTGGGTACGTGATTGATTTTTCCAAGAGTCTTTTATCGTTATTTTCTTGCTCTAATGATCTAATAAATCCAAAAGTTTGGTGGCAGGTATTAACTTCTGGTGCGAAAAAGTGCATTCCCAATGTTTCCTTACTAAAGTACTTATAATGAACTGCTGCTTGCTGATGCCTTGGCCAGAGTACAACCATGTCTAACTTTGTCCGTTGGTCACTCAAATTCTTAGATAACTTCTCTATTATCTTCTCGTTCACACATGTAAGCACAGTTAATTGCTTTGGACACCGCTGACTTGTCACACTGGTTTTAAGTTGGGTGAATTGGGAACTGAGATGAATATCAGCAGAATGTTTTGCCATTTGTGTTAATACTATTACAGCTTCAGCAACAGCTTCACCATCTGAAGTGAGAAATTTAGAAGCAAAGCAAGCATTAAATGTTGCTAAACACATACAACAATGGTTATTGCTATCACAATAAATAAAACATTGTTAGATAATCAAAACAGAGCTTACGATGTTTGCTAATTTCTTGATCCGAACTTTGAATGGACGTTTCGAGAAACAAATGACTGATGAACTCGAGCTGTTTTTCTTCTATAATTACTGGAATATCTATAGATTGCATCGAAAGATGCAGATCAAAATATTCATTCACACTACATAGCTGATATGTACTAGATGCTTTTTGGAAGCTGACATGATTCATATTTGCAGATACATCTTCGACGGAACAAATTGTTGGATGCAATGCAATATCAAGTTGTTGAGTATCGGTTCGTTCTTGATATTCTGTAAGCAAAATATACGAAAATAAATTCAAAATCTTTTAAAAAAAAAAACATATTTTATAAGTCAGTTATTGCTTTCACAAAAAAGAAAATTTAATAACTTACAAAAAATTTATTATCATTTTTTGCATTAATTATCCACAACCTTAATCACTTATTTTGCTGTTTTAGTATTTTAGTGTAATCTAAAAAGGATATACAGATTTTTTTCTATAAATTCTAATCACTGCTCACTATTGCAAGGATTATTCTCAAGTAAATTCCATTATTTAAAATATTAATACCATGTATATGCATATAAAGGATAATCCCATAATTTACATTGTTGACTAATTGAATTTATGTGCAAATAGGCCAAGTTTCTTTTTATATTGTTATTGTATTGGTGCAAAAAACTGACCAACTACAGTGATTTTAGTGACCGCTGTGTAAGAATCTTTGATCACAACACCGTATTCACCTTCATCACTTTTACGAACACCGCATATTGTGATACTGTGCTCAAAGCCATCACGTGTATCTTTTCTTTCAATTCTTTCATCTTCCCTGATGGGTTGCATATTTTTACGCCAATCCAGTGAATAGTGCTGCGTGATAGTTTCGCAGTGAATGGTTGCAGCTGAACCGATTGGTACTATCGATTCTTCTACATTACTTTCACTTATATATTCTTCCCCTTGAATCGAGAACAATGAAGTCAGAATGCTAATTCAATTGAACAATGCATTTAAAAATCTCACAATAACTTAGACCTTTACATATATGGACAGAGTATGATGTGTATTGTTTTTATTTTTGTTGCAGAATTATTTACATAATAATCTGCTGACAAATATTTTTTTTGCTCTGCGAAAACATTACTAGTCTGTCATGAAAACAACTGCGTTGAAACGTAGTAAGATCATATTATCATAATATTTGCATGCATTTATTTTATAATACTCTCACTACTCTTCATTTGGCATTCATTTTGAACATAGTAACAACTCGTCAAACTTCATATAATTGTTTGTGAACGTTTACATTTTTAATTTATAATTGGATATGTTTATAATAATCTAACTAGTTAATCATTTGTGGAAAGTTAAGATGCTTTGCTATAAATTGCTCATATATTTATTACTCATAAGTAATTATACTTTCACTTAATCAATAACTTCGTTTGGTACAAAGTTTCACGACAAGTAACGGAAATTAAATATGAAATCTCTTTTATCAAAGTTTATGAATTTCGATGAAATCACTTAAATATCTTAAATATTTGGTAATTCTTACTGTTTTGTATACAAAAAGTTTTTTGTACTTAAAGAACAAAAAATAACTTGTAAAACTTATGACAGGTAAAACTATGTGCTACAGACATTATGTTTTACTCTTATAACTTTTTTGAAACAAAATTAATATACTAGAGAGGTAGCAATTTTAAGTTGTAAATATTTGCTGCAAAATGTGAAAATCAAACAGCATAGAAAGTTAAGTTGCTCATGTGCAAGCATTGATGATCAGAAGATATCTTTTGTTTCAACAATAAATAGCTGATGATAAGTAAAGGCTATTATAAGAAGATAAGTAAATATTTGAAAACAAATACAACAAAAACGCTTTCGATCAAAAGGAAGGAAAATGATAGGATGAGCGTAAATAATCAGCAGCTTTAACTAACGGACAACAATACATCCATCAGATGGCAGAATAATTGAAAACAAATGGAAATTAAGTTTAATAAGTAAGTTTTATTTTCAAGTTGACAAAACTAGCCAGGAAAGTTATGAGAGTTTTGGTCATTATCTATTCCAAATTGAACATTAAATTTTGAATCAGTAATTGCTCAATTATTAATTAAAAATTAGCTTATGAGAGTAGGAAATTACTGATGCAAAATATTGCTCAGTCGAGCTACAAGGCTTTTTAGTACTGTTGAGGTACAGCTGTACATAGTGCTAATGAATTAGTTCACTTTTTTAATAACTCGATCCATAACTTTACTATAAATTGTGAATGAGGGACCGCTAAATTTCTTTCTATATCTAAGTAACTAATCAAAATTTTTCCGTAACTCTCAATACATTCAAAGTAATTATATCTGAGCCTATAATATAAAGATTCCTGATGCACATGTAATTTCACCTCACGTGTTCTAAGTAAATAAATATTTGTTTTATTCTGTTATTAAGTGTTATTAAGGGATCCTTCAGATTAAGAAATAGCAGTGAACAATTAATGAAGGGAACTGCTAGATATACGTTTAGTATGTTTACTACCGAGGGAAGTAGCACAGTTGTTAACGATCAGACGAGCAATTTTGAATTCAATTTCATTGATGGAAATACTGTAACATGCAGAGTCATCAGTTTGAGTGTCATGGATTACAAGATAATGCTTTAAACCATTTGCAACATGTTCAACTTTAGCATCATTCACAAACTCAATTTCTAAGCCATCTTTACGCCATACGAGTTCGCGCACCTCATCACTATTTTCCAGTTCACAAGCAATTGTTGCTGTACTTCCCAGTGGTACCAAATACTCATAATAATCATCCTCGTCAGTGTCTGTTCCAGAAGCATTTATGGTTAATTCACGTTCGTCAATGCGTTCTGTGTTTAAAATATATGTTAGAATTAGCTTGACATTTATTAAGACTAATGCATATTGTTAGTACAAAAAAAGAAGCTACACAGTGTTTTTATTTATGCATATAATGCATTTATCAAAGTCACCAGAAAAATTCAAAATAAATCATATATACATATATTGTTAGTAACGATTTAACTATGCTTACCTTCAACAACAAGTGTAACCGTTGTAAACTGATCGCCCAAAAATGCATAATAGGTTCCCTGATCTTCTAGTTCAGTTTTATCAATGATTATTTGATGGTACCCAAATTTGTCTGTTTCTAATCGTACCCTAGCACTTTTTGTTACCCATTTTTTGTTATCTTTGCACCATTCAACCTTCTGATTAGATTTATTAACTTGACAAGAAATAATTGATGGCTGCCCTTCCATTACAAATAAAGTTTGCGGCGGACTTATAAAGCACGCATCATCTTCTATCTTTTCGGATAAAGCTTGGTCATCTTCTACAATTAAACATGCAACTGGATAGACAGTATCATTCACTTTAATGCTATATATATCACCATCTACTGGGGACATATGTGAAATGACAAGCACTTCTAACAAATCGTGACTTATACGGTCTATTTTTCCTGGTAGAATTTGCACGAGAGTCTTGCCTTTATACCAATTAATAACGCTTCCAGGAATTAAGAAATTGTTGAACTCGCACGTGATCGTTGCGGTTGATCCTTCTTTTACTATATATCTCGGTATATTCATTTCTTGCCAAATATCCATTTGATCACCTAATTCAGATAACTCACCGAGATCTAAAGACGATGAACGAAATGATTCGTGTGAACGAAGTGAACGATTTTCTATTTCGTTTGATTCCGATACAGAAACACTTTGAATAAGCGCATTTTTAGCTTCAGAATTGCTTGTTGAACGAACCATATCAGATATAATTATTATATTCATAGAAACTTCTCCCCAAGGAATTTCTTCAAGTGATGCATGAGTAATATCATGCATACTTCGAGCAACTATATTAACAGAAACGCAGGTATGTTGCTCGTTGTTTCGACTAGTATTACGTGAATGATCATCGTATGCGCAGTCACTTGCAATACTACTGATTTGATCATCATCAGTTTCTTCATAAGCACGACTTGCAAGTTTATACAAGAAAACACCTTCACACTGTTCATCTTGAATTAGTGATAAATCTACATCAATTGTATTTGGAAGCATCAAATCGAAGCTGATTGAATCACTCATATAATCACAAATTTTTATGGTAAAATTTTGTACTTCATCTTGTTGCTCCACTACTACATCAAAATCTTCACCGATTATTGTACATGCTTTAGTCACAGCACGTACTTCTGGTGAAAGAATTGCTATTACCTTAAGCTTACTTGAACACTTTTTATAATTGACATTAAGTATGATTTCTTCTGACTCTAGCATATTGTCCAGTTCATTAATTAGGATTATCCTTTTTCCATAATCATTCAAATAGTTCTCGTCATTATCATCAGTCTTGAAAGGGATACTAATAGCTTTTGCGATTAACTTCAATGCAGGTGTTGTGAAACTGCTTTCTTTTACATTCTTTTGATCATCTGTAGAACTTTTTTCCGTATCTAAACAATCAAAAGCAATAACAGTTGTTGTACTATTCGACATGAATGAACTCGCATTTTTAGAACTTTCACTGCCTTCCATTATTGTAGATAATATTTCTACATCATCAAAAGTAGCATTCTGATTATGAATTATTATCGCATCATTTAATTCTTGGGAAAATTCTTCATTATCCATGGATTCTAATTTGTGCAATGCATCTGATTCATTTTCAATAATTTGTGCGCTTTCTGGATGTTGTTGATATTCCATTTCCAAATAATCACGCAATTTTTCTAGTTCATTTTCCATGCTTTCTGAATGCATACTTTCAGAAATCTTGGGTGCTAGATACTGCAAATCTAAGTTAGTCAATTCTTGTTCCATTTTTCCAAAATGTTGTGCAGTATTTTGGTATTGGCAGAAGATTTTTTCGTTTTCAACACCTGATTCTTCGGAAGTTGCTAAAGATTTCATGCTATCCTCGCTAAAAGTTTCAATGATGCTTTCATTCAAAGCATCATTGAAACTTGGATGTGCCAGTTTTTGCAGAAGCATTTCTTCATTCTCAGCACAATCTTTTGGTTTGAAGATCAAAAGTGATGGAACAAGAGATTCTGGTGCGTAATCAGAATCTTCACAAAAAAGTTGCATAGAGCTCGACTCATCAAATGCTTCGAGGAAAAGATGGTATTGCATTTTAGAGGGCCACGTAAATGAACAGTCAAAAAATTTTTCTTCATTATTCAAAAATGTTTCACAGCTAATGTAAATTTCGGAAACACTTTCAACTATATTTTTTAACATGGGTTCTGGAGTTGCGTTTGATGATTCCACATTATTAGACTGTAAGATTGATGGAATTTGTGATAGAACACTGCTTTCGAGTTTGTTGATTTGAACATCATTTGGAGTACTTGGGATACTATGCAAATTTTCTGCGGTAATTTCAGGCTTAAAAATTTGCTCACTCAAATTATGCAGTTGAAATGACGTGTTTTTAAAGTCACATGATTTAGAACGATGTTGTAATCGAGTTGAATTAGTAGCAAAATTGCAAGTAGAAGCAATTCGTTGATTCATTTCTTTACGTCTTCTCGGTGGTGGCACTGGAATTATTGTAGGATCTTCTACCGAATCTTTCATTATTGATCTACTTTGTAGATTGGTGATCATAGGCAAATTCTGTGTTTCTTCTCCGTTTCGCCAAAATTCATCACTTTTCTCTAAAACTTCAGTTCTATTCTCAAGATTATCATTTTTCTCATTTTTTAACAGTGAATTTGCCGAGTTGTCAGATGTGCTACGTAGCATCACAATAGCATTCATGTATTCCTCTCCTTCAGGTTTTACAAGATGGAAATTCACTGATGCATCTGTACTGAAAAAGTATCCAGTCCTTGATGAAGGTGATAAGAGACAATTTGGTGATTGCGCACGCTCTTTAGCAACTTTCTTAGCAAGTTTTTTCTTGTTCACAGATAAGAAATCTAGAACTGAAGAGACGTTTTTACGAACTTTGTGCAGCAGATTAATAGCAGGACCAGTGCTTTTCTTCGAAATGTTACGTTTGATGGCAGCCATCTGATTATTGACCTGAATTAAAATATCATGCACCTCATCTTGTTTTATGTCGTTTGCAACCACATCTATTTCATTTTCGGTACTCTGAATTTCTTTCCAATCATCATTTTCGTCATGATTTTCAACTTCTTCCAACATTGTTTCTAGCCTCTGTATCTGGTCTTTAATGCTTGATGTTAAGGGTGCCATTTTGGCGAATTCTTGGTTGTCTGGAATTTTATCCACTTGCTCATTAGACAAAGTTTTCATATCCTTCAATTCAGGCTGCTTGCATTTTTCATCATTGCACTTCAAGGTCAATAATTCTATAGGCTCAGATAATGATTCTGAGACCAAATTCACTGACTGTCCAATAAATATGGAACTGTTACAGAGCAATAATTTTTCAAGTTCATTAATCTTCTCTCTGAGAAGCGCAATTGGCTTTTTGTAAGCTACTATGATATCTTTTGCACTACCATTACCAGTGTTCAATATGATATTTTCAAGTATTGCTTTCATCAATTCTTCGCTAGCTTCTGCTTGTGCTTCTGTAACAGGTTGTCGAGATTCAATCTGTTCGGATATATCATAAATTGCGCGTTCAATTTGATATGCGTCGTTGTCAATCTTTGCATTTGCATTAATTTCTGTTTCAATTTTTAAAGTTACTTTATCGATAGCTTTCATTTTTAGCAATATATCAGCCTTCACACGGTCAAATTCTTCGATATCCGAAATCGATAAAGGTTTCGAATAGTCAATATTTGACACGTTGCTATGTGCTTGACAATTATCTTGCAATTCAGAGACAGTATAAGTTTCGCAGTTTTCTGCCTTGTATAATTCTTGTTTAGAATCTGTCAAGTTATTTTTTATAGCTGTTCTTAGGTGTCGTTCTCGTAGATTAGCTCTCTCGGGCATTATAAATTCGGAATTTGCTTCATTTTGATAATCTTGACAGCGAAAGCTCTCAAAACTCTGATATTCTGTGTAGTCTCCTTCATTTATTTCTGTAGCT